GGGTTGAGGTAGGGCTGTGCGCGGAGGTACTGTAGTGATTTATTGTCTGACCGTACTTTGCGCCATACTTTGAATGCGTGCACGATCACGAGCTTTTCGTGGTCGTGTATCGGGTAGTTTTTCTCAGGCGGATGCAGTTTTCGTGACTCGTATGCGATGGGCTGTAGGCCGTTGAAGGAAATTCTGTAGTAGGACGGCTCCGATGGCGATGTTGCTAGCGTCTGTAACTACTTTGAATGGGCAGTGTGGGTCGGTGATGCGCAGTATGGGCAGTGAACAGAGAACATTTTTCAGGGCAGAGAAGGCAGCATGCTCTTTCTCCCCCCACGTAAAAGCGACCCCCTTCCGCAGTAAATCCGTCAGTGGGTGTTAACCTCGCCATGTCGGGGGCGAACCGACGCACGTAATTGACGAACCTCGCCATGTTTGTTGGGGGGTGCCACGCTTTGACTGTGTCCAGCTTCTTCGGGTCAATTTCAACCCCTGCCTCCAGAATAACGTGCCCAAAAACTGTCCTGAAAGAACTCCCACTTGGAACCCTTGGTCAGTAGCCTGTGCTCGTCTAAAATTTTAAATACTGCTTCCAGATATGCTAAGAACTGCTGCTTATCGCGACTGTAGATGAGGATGTTGTCGAGGTAAACTATTATGCATTTATCTAAGTGTGGCCTAAACGCCTCGTTCATGGTCATCTGGAACGTCACCAGTGCGTTCGTCAGCCTGAATGGCACCACAATGTACTCGAATGGCCTGTACCTAGTCCCAAAAGCCGTCTTGGCGCAGTCTGATGGTTCGACCCGAATCTGGTGGTAACCTCCCCGTAAGTCTATTTTCGAAAAAAAAAAATATCCGTGCTGTTCGCAATTGATCTATCAGTTCGTCGCGCGGGGAATGGGGTATCGCGACTTGACTGTAACCCTGTTCAGTGCCCTATAGTCGATGCACATGCGAAACCCTCCGTCTTTTTTCGGTGTGAACAGTATCGGTGCGGCGAATGGCGACGAACTCGGTCGGATGAATTTCTTCTCTAACAGGTAGTCTAGCTGCTTCCTCAGTTCGTCGAGCTCGGGCTGTGTCAGTCTGAACTGTCGCTGTACAGTTGGCTGTGCCCCCGGTTCTAATTCTATTTTGTGATCGTGTGCTCGCTGAGGTGGCAGTCCCTCCGGTAGGTCATCGGGAAAGATCTCCGAGTACCGTTTCAACAGTTCCTGTAGTTGGGGAGGTACCGTTGCCAGCAGTTTCTGAAAATCGCTCGGCTGCTCGGCTTCTCCTACCACTGCAATCTCCACCGCGTACACGTCAGCTCCAGTGGCGACAGCCCGTTTCATTGAGATGGCGCCAACGTGGACCGTTGAAGACTCGGGCGACTGCCAGCGAGGTAGCTCAACCCAGTTACCGCAACTTCGCACAGTGCAGCTACTCGTCGTCCAGTCGATTCGTGGGTTATATCGTCGAAGCCAATCACGTCCCAGTAAAATGTCGTGCCCATCCAATGTCGTCGCGAGCATTTCCTGTGTAAACCCGAAGTTCCCCCCGCAGCGAACTTTTACCCTCTCCACCTTTTCCCGTATAGCTAGTGGTGTGCCGTCAACTAAGCGTGCATCTATCTCCGGTAAGCACCGACAAAATGTCAGCTGCAGTTTCCGTGTGGTCGCGGTACTAACTAAGCTATGACTTGCTCCTTTGTCTATAAAAATGTTCACTGCTGCTCCCTGTAATTTCCCGTGAATCAGTACTGGGCAATCCATCACTGTACCCTCCTTATTCATCCGAGGCTGATAGATGGCGTGAATTGGTACTGTGACTCGGTGAGGGTCAGTGAGGTTGGGCGAGCAGGCAGTCTCATCAGTAGTTGGCCCAACTTCTACTGACTGCTGGCGTTTCCCTGTCTCTGAGACTCCCTCCCCTGCTCTGCTCCGCGGCGCCTCAGCTCCTCTGGGCATTCACTCTTGCGTTGGCCTGGCCTATTGCAAGCAAAGCAGCGCCCCTTAAATGGCGCGGTAGCTGCGTTCGTCGCAATGGCGTGTACGGTGGCGTGCTCGGTCGGTCCTCGAGGGCGATGTCTGTAGTAGGACCCCGGTCTCGGACGGCGCAAAATGTCGATTTTCTCGTGCGAGATGTCCGGCTTCAGCCCCCCGACGTAACGGTCCACCCGCTCCGCTTCGTGCATGTAGCCGACTTGCTCGCACAATGAAAGAAAATCGCTCGTATAGTCTTGAACTGACCCGAGCTGCTGCCAAGTACGTAGTTTCTGACGCGCCGAAATAGAAGCCGCGATCGGCTCGTAGCGGATTTTCGCTGCATCGTCCTCGACGTAATTCGCGTTGAAGAAGACGTTCATTGTGAAATCCACGATTGAACCGTCGGTCCCCCGCGTTGGCTCGGTTCGAAACAGGGCAGGCGCTGCGGCCTGAGTGGCATCGGTGTCATGACGTCACTGTTGCCACTCGCTGCTGCAAACTCCACGTGCCAACGGGCTTCGCGAGGCCCATGCGTGCTTGGTGCGGCCCTGATTCTCTCCATGCCCGGCATTCAGTGGGCGGCGCCATCACTGGCTGCGCCTGAGCGCTGTCCCACGCTGTCGTGTTGCGATGGTGTGCCGGACGAGATGACGATTGGCTCGTCCGTTTGCGCTGGTGCATTTGTTGGTGCGTGTGTTGGTGCTGGTGCGTCCGTCGCTGATTGCTGGCGCGCGGAGTCGCGTTCCGCCGTGAGCGTCGCAATCTCGAGTTGCGAACCCTTAAGTTGGCGCACCAGACGGACGAGCTGCTCCTTCGTCAGCGTCACGAGCGTAAATTCGGCCATGGCGGGGGTGTTGGGCGAGCTCAGCGAGAGCCTCTGTCGTGGCCGTGCGTGCTTACGAGAGAGCACTTCGAGCGGCGGTGCTTGTTCGCTGAGAGACGTCTATTCCCCCCCCAAAAATTGGGATAGTGGGGAAGCGAAGGTATGGGTGCGGTCTGAGAGGAGATCGTAGGCTCTGAATACCAAGTGTTACGAGTGCAATTGAGTGAGCGAGCGAGAATTGCACTATCGAAGCAAGAGTACAATGAGCGAAGAATATCTAGCGAAACTACAGTGGTAACGGTAATGCGTGAGAATGGGGTGCGCGACAGGCCTGGCGCCGAGGTTTGGGAAATGTCGAGGCGGAGGTCCGGAGCGCGGGTTACCAACCGAATCGTGAGGCTGGGCTGCGTCGTGAACAGTGGCGGGGAACAGTGTCGAGGCGAGTGTCGCGAGTGGTAACGGATTACTGTTGGGTGCTGTTGGCGGGAACAGTGGTGTATGCTGAGCAGGGATGCGAAGTAAGGAAAAGGGAATTTTCCTTACAATGTTACATACGCAACTCTATGTATTGAGTAGCTATAAATGTGTTCGCCTTGTTTCCACGTTTCATACTGGATATTAGAGTTCACTCTACAAAGTGCAATTGAATCAAAATCCAGAGAGCTCCTATCCTTCAATCTAAGACCACTGTAAACGACCATATCTTGCTCGATACTCAGGTGATCTAGGTGATCTACGGCACATTGGAAAGCTAACAAAGTGCTATAATATTTATTACAACACAATGTTCATGCAAAAGCTGCTGATGGAGCAAAGATTTGACAGGTAAAATACGGTGTTATAATGAGATACACCTATTTGAGGTCCACCCACCTACACAAGGATAAGCATACCCACAACCACCCACATGTTTACAAGGTTAACATCTAACCCCCCCCCTCCCCGGCCCCCCCCCCCCCCCCCCCCCCCCCCCCTCTCCCCACCTCCCCCCCTTCCCTCCCTCCCTTCCGCCCTAGGCAGCTGCTGGATCTGCAGAGAGAAAGACAATGCAGCTGCTGGATCTGCAGAGAGAAGGACAATGCAGCTGCTGGAACTGCACTAGGCAGCTGCTGGATCTGCAGAGAGAAGGACAAGGCAGGGAGGTGGCACGAGTCAGATTTACAGCACATACCCACACCGCGCACATACAAGGTGCATGAAACCATACATACAAGGTGCATGAAACCATATACCAGCACCACACCCCGCAATGATACTGCCCTCTCACTAACAAGCACAGCCCATGCACCAACAGGCATAGCCGAGGCATCAACAAGCATCTCGCACTCACCAGTAGCCCTTCTTCTCGCACTCCTTAATGGCTTTCGTACGTTCATCCTCGCATGCTTTCTTATCAGATTCGCTGAAGTTCACAGTCCAGAATAGAATCACCACCTTTGAACAATCCTTATTCCTCGAGTTAGCGCAGCTGATTGCTGCGAAAGGGTGAGAGCAAAGGGGAGACTATTGAGTCGACTTCTTTTCTTTGGACGGCCGCCTGAGAACGAGCGACACCAAGGGAGGCAGGAACAAATGGACGGCTGAGATTCCTTCCCTCACAGCCAACTGCCGGTCATAATGCTTCCCGGCACTATGGGCAGCACGGAGTCACCAGCTCCTTTTGTACAGTATCATCAAGAAATAATAGAAAAGAGAACAAAAAAATAACCGCAGGAACAAAAATATGTGGGGGCTTGGCTTGATCAACCCTACGTGTCGTGATAAAGAGTTCGCGGCGACCCTGCTCGTCCCCTGCGCTAGGCTCAGCGGCAAAACTCGGCGCGCTCTCCGCCGTGATGACGCCGCCGGCGGCATCTACCGCTCCCGACGCACCTGCCGCCACGCCAAGCCCGCACATAGGTTCGCGCGCAGGGGAGGAAGAGACAGGGGGGAGGGGTGAGGGGCGTGGGGAAAAAGGAATGAGTGGCACTTTTTTTCCCGCGGCATGGGGAGGTGAGGCGTTGTCGGAGTGTGGGGACGTGAGGCTTGGTGGGATGCAGGGGTGTGCAGAGGGAGGAGCGATGGCCCGTACAGAGCGACTCTCTCTTGAGAGGTAACTCTTTTTTTTGCACGGATCTGCGACGTGCAATCGCACGGGTCTGCGACGTGCCATCGCGGGTCTGCGAATGCCATCACACGGGTCACCGACTTGGCCATCGCACAGGTCTGCAACTTAC